TGTAATAAATTTGTAAGGGAATTCTGTAATTCTGGGAATTATTACCAGACAGTTTATGGAAAAAATCCAATGGTACAGGATGACTTTCAAAATATCAGGAGATCCAAATTTGCAGAAATAAAAAATAATTAAACTAAATAAATTAAAATTACAGAATCCTTGAAAAGATCCAATAAAGACCAAAACGTTGGATACCGAGATTTCCGAAGGTGGAAAATATCATCAGACCTTTAAAAAAATAATTTGAAACTAGGGAAAAAACATTCAATACTGCTGACGAATCGATTTCGCTTTACCCTCTCCGAATCCCATAAAACAACGCATATTTGTGCACTAGAGCCAATGCACCAAGTTTGTGCTGGAATTCAACCATTTTGACTCATGCCTAATTTAACAAACTGACGTGTTCGATATTTTACAATAAATCATAGCACGAAAATGGCTCATCTAATCGAGATGATTTCTTAGACAAAGTTGTAGGAAACTGGATTTTTTTTTACTTCAGTAGACTTTGTGTACAATATCAGAAAAGGTAGAATTTTTAATATACTTTCAAATAAACATAAATTAAAAAAAAAAAACATTTAAAATGTAATTTTCTTGGTTATTAAAGTTTTGAACAGTTTTTAAATGTTTTTTTTTTTTTTTTTTTTTGACAAAAACTTGTGATTTTTTCATCATTGTGCATATTTTACTGAAAAGGCAATCTAGTTTCCAACAACTTTGTCTCAAACGTCATTTCGATTAGAAGAGCCGTTTCCGTGCTACGATTTATTTAAAAATGATCGAATAAGCAATTTAGATTAAAAAAAATAGGCGAGAGTCAAAATGGCCGAATTCCAGCACAAGCTTGGTCCATTGCCCCTAGCGATCATTTATGTAAAGTTTCATGTAATTTATCGATATATTATCGTTATTTTCATCCAGAGGCAGGTTCATCTCCTTATTTTCAACATTGGACCATCTGAATCTGAAAATGTCGACTTCCAAAAAATATCAAGATCATGGCAAAAAGAAAAAAAGTCTCGATCTAGGAATTCGAGAGTTAGTAAGTTTTCTTTATTAAAGAAGCTGTTAGAAGGAATTGAATACATGTTCAAGGGCTTCGCATAATTATCAAGATTTTTCAATACCTTAAAAGTATTGAAATATCGGACCATTTATGCATGATCCTGAACTAAGGAAAATCTTGAATATTGGCAGATTTGAATTTTACTCGAAATTTTGGATTCAGCTCATTTTTGATATGTCAGATAAAAAAATCAATGTCCCAAGTAAGGAGTAATTTTCAGCATTCTGGGATTAAATAAGGTTTAAAGATTCTGAGACTAGCGGCGCCAGTGGTGTAGTGGTACGCGTGATTGCCTCTCGGACAATGCATGAGTTCAATTCCAGTCGGAGCCGTCGGTATTTTCTGAGGCTTAAAATCTCTGATCACGCCTTCTTTCGCCATTGGTCGCCGGTTTAGGTGTGAGTGGGACCTGCCTCACAGGCGTCGGTTGCATTGGTACTCAGTACAGTAAAACATTCCTTTTTTACGTCCATGTTTTGGCGATTCAAGGTTCGCTAAAGGATTATGTAAACATTTTGGCATTTTTGAGTTTTAGAAATTTTGGAAATTTCAATGCCTTTTTGTTGTTTTTAAAGCTATTCTGGCAGTTCTATTCCATTTTAGCGTTTTTGTGATTTTAGAGCTATTTTAGCGTACTTCGAGTTTACATTTAATATTTTAAAGATTATGTTTAAGGTTTTCAAAGGAGCACATTGGCCACACTTGGACATGTTCCGGATTTCTCAGGGAGACTGGTCATAATCTGCCTTGAACTAGAACCTATCACACGACCAGGATCCAGTGTCCAGGATCACATTGGACACACTCGAGCATGTTCCGAGTTCCCCAAGGAAGTGGCCAGAATCTGACTCGAACTATAACCCATCACGCGACACTTCAAATCACATGATAGTTCAAAAATATGATCATTGGTAGTCATATTGAGTGTACAGAACCACATTGGGTACTCTCGAATATGTTCCGGGTTCCCCAAGGAAGTGGAAAGAATCCGACTTGAACCAATAGCCATCATGCGACGTCACAAATCACATGAGAAATTCTAAAATAAGGTGTTCGGAGATGAACCAGCTTGCAGCTGAAAATCTCCTAAATAAAGAGACAAAAAAAAACCAAAAATAAGATAATTCCCAAACAAAGTCTGAGATTAAATTGAAATCTAAATTTGATGTTGTGTTTTCGCTGATAATTATTACTCAGGTTGCTGTCGTTATGGTCGTGTTAAAATATCACAATTGCAAGCAAACAAATCTTCTTGTGAAATCACATTGAAAACTATTTCTGCTATCAGTGAGAGCAAACTGAAAACTGAATTTGATATCCATTTTTACTGTTGATAACAAAATAAGTATTCAATTTCATGTTATGCTAAGGCCATGAAAACAAGCCCGCAACAACATATTTCTGAAGAGCAAATGTACAGCAAAATGAAAACAAAATTAGGTATCAAATTTGTTAATTGCGTAAACTGAAATCAAGTTATGCCACCAAGAGCATTTTTATTGTAAAAAGTTTTGGTCTTTTCGAAAAAAAAAATCGGAACTGAAGAACCACGAAATACATTTAAAAATGGTCAAAAATTACCAACATTTTAAAAATATCTTCTTCCAAACCGCTACATCTCGAAAACGGTGCGACTTAGAAAAAATTAACTCAAGTGCTTTTTTATTGTAAATTTGGTGTACTTTCAGTAAAAAAAATAATTGGACCTAATTTTGAATATTTATCCAAAAAGTTGACTTTTTTTTTTAAATCATTACTTTTTTATCCATCATTTCTCCATCTTGACCTATTAGTGCAATAGGTTGCATTTGACTAGGAAATCTAGTAAATCAAAATGTAGAAAAATGTGAAAGAGTTAGGTATTTTGGAATTATCTTAGACTCTAAACTAACTTTCATAGACCATTACAACACAATTATTCACAGAGCAAATAACATGCTAGGCTTTATCAAGTGCTTTTGCTATAGCTTTCACGACCCATACACAATTAAAACACTATATATTGCCTATGTGAGGTCAATACTGGAATATTGCAGCATTGTATGGCCTCCTTTTTCAATCACACACGAAGACCCTAATAAAAATTGAATGGTTAATTTGCTTAACGACGTGTTCTGGGTATCATCCAAACTATTTATGGAATAGTTCAATGATTTGGGTTATCGTTCGTTTATGGTTATTTTTTATTAGGGGAGAGATTAGAATCCGTACAAAAACCATTTCTATTATACGCTCTTCGTAAATTAGGTTGGACATAATTTCCTCTTCCATCATATGAAGCACGCTGCATGCTAATAAACATACAAACATTAAAAGAGCGTCGTGAATATGCAATGGTTTCGTTTGTAACGATATCGTTTCGCAGCGCATTGACTCCACATAACTATTATCAAAATTAAATTTCCATGCACCTACTCGGCAACTCCGAAATCGAAATTTATTTGCCATAAAACATCATCGTACAAATTATGCAAAATATGGGCCATTAAACCGCATGATGGCCTCTTACAATAAACACTGCGAAACCATTGACTTTACAATGTCTCGGCATAAACTAAAACAATATTTTTACTCCATAAGGCATTGTAACTCATAAAAAAATAGGAAAGCTGACACTGCTTGATTTTTATAAAAGATAATATTATACTTTTTAACCTCTTTTCCAAAGTTGACGAAATATATAAATAAATAAATTTAAGAAAACAAAACTGTATTCGAATGTGTACTAGTCTACGTTGGTTGACGAAATAAATAAATTTTTTGTCCCCTAAAACATATCAACAAAAAAATAATACAAAATAAAAACAAAAGTAGGGTAATTTTTATAAGATTGCATATTTTAAATAGTCTCATCCATTATCTGTAATATTGCCGAAGACACCAAACCGATCGCGCAAACAGTTTGAGAGTAAAATTTTTCTGAAGATAAGCATGATATTTTTCTATAGACCCTTTTCAAAAATAAGGCTGGATTCAAAATGGCGATATGGATGCAAAATGACATTGTCGGTCATGAGGAACGTTTCCACAAATTTTCAACCAAATAAAAAAATTCAAAAATAAACCGATTTGCGAATTTGTAGGGAATTGCTCAGCATAAAGTCACTTATTTTGTTTGTTTTTGGTGTTGCATACTATATACACTTTTAAGGTTAAGTTTACCGGCCCGATTTTATTTTTCTAAAAATATTGGGAAAAATTATCAAAAATCCAAGAAAATCAGTCTCTTCCTTAGATTTTTTTGTCAAAAACTACATGCAAAAATATTTTTTTCTATCTCATCATGAAAAATGCGACCATCAGCAAAACCAAAAAGTCGTTGTTTTGTGGTTTTTTGAGTCCAACTTTACGCCGTGATGACTTATTTACAATGTTTTTGCACGTGATTTTTTTTTTGAAATATTAGAAAAAATGTGATTTATTTAGATTTTTGATACATTTTTCCAATATTTTTAGAAAAATCAAAACGTAGTTATTTTTTTCGGAGCGGTGAACTCCCCCCCCCCCCCCATGCGTGGCTTGCCTGGAAATGAGATTTCGTGACTCGTGACCTTCTGCGATAGAGGCCTGGATGGCAACTATTACGCCAGGTCCGTCCACATCTCCTAAACTGATTTTCCCTTGAGTTATCTTAAATATTCTTAAAAAAAATCTAAATCATCGTAAGCCACCATCCTCCCATCAGGATCTTTAAAAAAAAACAATCCAAAATCAAACAAACCCATTACGGAAAAACTTGTAATATTTAACACCTTCTTTTCAAAAAAAAACAACTTAGTGCCACCTGTTATACACAATTTCCGGGGCCTTTACCTCTCCGAACTATAGATACAAAGATTTAATGAAATCACAACCATACGATAATCGTTGTTCTGTTGCACAAGAGTCCTTCCTCAGTACATAGATAAACAAGCCGAATTCAACTCACCAGACTTGGGCGTTCCAGTGGTATGTTGGTTGAAATGCGTCTGCGTGGGATGGAACTGCTGCTGTTGTTGCTGTTGTTGATGATGTTGCTGCTGTTGCTGATTATGCTGCTGCTGCTGCTGCTGCTCCCGTTGCTGCTGGTTATGGTGGTGATGCTGGTGGGAACTACCTGCTACAGCTGCGGTCATTGTTTTATAGTTAGGGAAGAATACGAAACACTGTTAATATCCTGTAGATAATGTTGGTGCAGTTTAGGTGCTGGTAAGAGTAGTGGAAAGCATTTGATTTTGGTAGCTTACAGAACAGTATTCAGGAAAGGAAAGTAACTCAAGGTAACGTGTGAGTATGAGAGATGTTTCAAAGTGTTACGTTTCTTTGTCATTACTGATTGATCTCGAGTTGGACAGAAACATCCGTGCAGATTTGGAAAAAAAAAGTTTATAAGTTTGACACAGACAGAACGACAAAAACCAAAAAGAACGGTTACGGAAAAACGTGGAATCCAAACAAAAATAATGAAACAAAACCAAAATCCTTGAAAATTATTTAAAAAAACAAAAAACAAAACAATACTTTACACTTACGTTGACTATCAGTTTCTTCATTTCTAGTTCTCTGTGCTGCTTTCGAGAGGCTTTTTCTCTTTGACGGCGAATGTTTTAGCGCTGCGATTTCGGGATTTTCAAGTTCACGCGGTGGTGAAGTAAGAATGTTTTTTTGTTGAAAGAGTATTTTTTTTTTGAAAATTAATCGATTGTTGGCGTGCGATGGTTGGTGCGGTGGTTGAAGGCAATTTGTTCGATTTCGAGGATGGTCGGGATCGTAAAATAAAAAAAGAGAGAAAAAGAAAAAGAAAACATACAATCGAAAACACGTTTTTTTTTAAAGGACCGGATGGTTAAAATTGAATTCGATTTAAACGCTAAGTGGGAATAAATGAAGAATTCTGCTCTGAATGGGATTGGCGGAGAAAATAAAATCTTGAGGTGGTTTTTTTTTAATCTTCAGTTAAAATTATGGTACTGCAAGCAAAAATCCTAAACAAAACGAAACTAAATTCTTAGGGTGGAAAAATACCATACATTGTAATATGCTCGATTCAGCACACTATAAAAAGGTATCGTACAAAACAAACTCACAAAAGCAGAACCAAAAGCACTCTTTTAATCAGCATCTCCCAACTAAGGAAAAAATACCCAAAGGGAGCAAACTAGTCGAAAATCATGCCAAACTCAAACCAAAAACCATAAAAAAAAAATAGGAACCAAAGCATTGGTAACACCCGCCTCCATCAGCCCGGGGACGGGAAAGCGCAACCGATATAATGGTGAGAGCCTAAAAAACTGTGGAACGGATCAACTATACGAGGTTCACTGTACAAGTCAAAAGCGCTCATCTTTACACAAGGTGACATTTTTTTTTTTTTGCTTTTTAATCACTCTCTGATTTCGCTCATGTTGCGACTATTTACACAATCGTTCGCTACTTTGGTTTACAACATATGTTCAAAGAAACCTGCGTGCCCGTTTCACTCTCTAAGGCAAAAGAAATCAAAGCATCCGGCAGCGAGACTATCCTAGAGATAAAAAAAAATTACATCGCTAACAATCCTAAGGATCTCCACACATCAGTATCTAAGAAACCGTTGTACAAACTGTGTCGAAAAATTTACGGTAAAATTGATGGTTGCAAATCAAATTCGAAACTTCAACTAAAATCGAAACCTTAAACAAACGAAATTTATGTACAGCAGTCAATCATTTCGCAACCGAGGTATATTATATAGAGATTAGAGATCAAACGAAAAGAGAAGAGAGATTTGTATATAGGCTAGTTTGGGGTGAGGGGTAAAAACGCAAGAAGTAGATAGGAAAACAAGCACAAGATAGCATAGTTCTAGGTGGTAAAAAGATGCAAGCATATCAAACAGGGATCACTTAAAAAACTAGCTAACGCCGTGCAGTGGTAGAAGAAGCAGGCCAAAAGAGCCAATAGCGAACTGATCTAATTAATTGTTACGGATAAAGATAGCAGAGAGCAAAAACGGCTTAAAATGCATTCGCAGGTCAGTAGGGAAGGAAGGATAATAGTTATAATTGTAGCTGACGCACAGGCAGAATAGAGCGAGAGATTAGGTAAAACAGCGTTAGAGGGGTTGTTAGATTACCTATATAACTGGTGACCAACGTGCGAAATTTTCTATGATTGCCTTTGATCTCGGGAAGATCCACTGGGTTTTAGCAATTGGTTTTATTTTGTATTGGTATTGTATCGAGTTACACGTTATGCATATACATTGGGGTTGATGGTTTTGTACAGTTTTTTTGTACACATAGGTATTTGCAATGGCATTTTGTACATGTTTGATTGGTTTTGTCATTTGTAATGCGCAGCGTGTATGCAAAGAGAAAGAGAGAAAGAGAAAAAAACGAGAAGAGTTTATAATAGTACGATGATTTTGATTTTGCTTCTGTTCCTGGAAGACAATCTAACGGTAGAATAAAACGGTTCACTTAAAAGAAATTCAAAAAAAAATCTTTAAGAACGGTAGTGAATCTTATTCGAGATCACCTAGGCAAAGCGAGGGAGCTTAAGAAAGGCTTAAGAAAGTTCTGTAGGTAATGATCATCATATTGACAATCATCAGTTGGGTTCGATTCGAGAATGCACCCATCTTTTCAAACAAGATCTTGGATAATGTTCACAAATAAGCAGTTGATATAAGAGCATCTCCATCGTTGGTTTAAGCCCTGTGATGCCCAAAATCGCCCTTAATGTCGAAATTCATGTTAAGAGCTGGTATGGTTTATTTAATATGGGTAGTCAAAAAAGTACAGAAAAGGGAATTTCGCAGTTGGCTGGCAGAAATACATATTCCCTAGGGAAAGTCAACGAAAGAACCATCGGAACATCGTAATGAAGAGCTAACCCGAGAAATAGCATCAATAGCAAGTTTCACTATTCAATTGAGGTATAGAACATCAAAAATTGCTATTAATTTGATTGACATAAGAGGTAAAATATCAAAAATAATATCAAAACATATATGAGACCTTTACTCGGAGATGAACCAGCCTACGGCTGAAAATCTCCTAAATAAAGAAAGAAAAAAAAAATATATGAGACCAGAGCCGGATTTGAAGGCGAAGCGAGCAATGGGGGCAATTTCCCCGGGCCATCCGACTACTGCCGAGCAAACATTTGTTGTAATTTTTAGTTTATCATATTATTTTCAGCTTTTATTTTCATTTTACGTTCAATCATAAAGTTTAGCTCTGGTCTGCCAATGTATCTGAGCTTGTTGGTCACTAATCGTAGAGTTGAGACAAAAGGATCTTTCAGCAAATTAGCATTGATTTATTGCAAATGTAGGTTATTGAGGTTATGGATAACTGATGAATGGCTGAGTTCTTTTTGTTTGCTGAACAGTGTTCCAAAGTGATGTTCTTAAAAAGATTGATATTGAAGAATTGACGTTCACATTAAAGCTTAATGTAGGGTTCAATGCTTCACTGATGTTCATAAATCTTTTTACTGATTTGTACTGTATTTATGTAGCATTGAAACAAAGAGGATAAACGCAATACCGTAATTGATCACATAAAGCGTCCGCATCGTGTTCTCTTGTCATGCAGATCTATTTGCTTTTTGCAGAAGAAAGTGTTACTGCTACCTAGAGCTACAACAAATTTAAACAACACTTCTCAGTACTCAACCTATTGGAGGCGAACCAGCCTCAGGCTGAAAGCCTCCTAAATAAAGATAAATCAATCAATTATTCCTCTTCGATCCTTGTTTGGATCCTACCCGAGGTAATCCTGCTTGACCATCGACTTTGAAAATTCCTCTTCGATCCTTCGGATTCTTATAGTAATCTACTTGGAAGTCAATTTGGAGAAATTTGGTTTTGCCACCATGGCGCCTAAGCGCAAATGAGAATGATCCATCATCCAGGCAAAATTCCATTAATCATTCCCGGCTTAGTGCCAAAAAGGAAAAGATTCCTCCTAGTGTTGTAACCACTTCCGATTTTCATGCTCTTCGCAAGGAGCTTTTGAGCTTCGTTCAATTTAAGTTTTCCCTTCAAATGGGCCGTCGGGGTGAATGCAGTGTATTGGCTGAAACTTTGGACGGATTCAAACGTAATCTCAAGTACCTTACTGAGAAGCATCACACATTTTTTACTTATGACACCAAAACTGAACGTCTGTTCAAGGGTGTCTTGAAAGGTCTGCCCAGTGGTGAATCTAAATGACTTGGAGTTGAGCCTGACCAAGTAATCAAAATGAAAATGAAATCCCATCCTGACGATTCACGCATTTATTTCACTTCTAGTCTAGTGAACTAAACAACCTTAAGGCCTTAGAAAAAGCTAGCCTTATACTCCATGTCCGAGTGAACTGGGAACACGTCAGGAAGACTGGAGGAAATTTCCCAAACCACACCCAGTGCCCTAAGTGCCAGGGATAGGGTCACGGACATGCTTGGCATGCACAGTTTTGGTCACGAACTGCTCATTTGCTAATAACTTTGCACAGAGTTGACGAAACATAGTTCTTTTTAAAGTAGTGGATAGAATAGAGTTTAAGCTTGTTATAGATAAAAAAAAAACAGTAGATTTTACTTTAACTATTTTGTTTGTATTACTGCTGCGTAAAGTTAATGATTTACATAGTTGAAGATGCTAAGTGTCAAATAACAGATAGTCCTGTTAGAGTACAGCAGTGTGAAAATTGTATATAGAGAGTAGAAAGCGAGCAAGGTCAACTTTAAGGAAGGTACGGATCGGGTTGATCATCTCTCTTTACCGAACTCCCCAGATGGAGATGTATACCCCCCCCCCCCCCTCTCGTAACTTCTTCTAAGTTGTCATTGCTCGCTTTCTACTCTCTTTATACAATTTTCACACTGCCGTACTCTAACGGATGTATCAACTCTAGACTCCATCTCCTCCATCTATCGTATAAAATTACCACCACTACTACAAACAGAGAGTACCAATTTCATAATTGTATATTTTGTAGAAGCTGACATTTGTGCCTTTGAAGTTTCACGCTAAGGCTTCCTTAGAGTATCACCTTAAGTCTGTTATTTGACGCTTAGCATCTTCAACTAAGTAGATTTTAATTCTAGTAATAAACTGTATTTGATTTTATTCAAAATATTATCAATCAAATATCAAATGTTAATATTAATGGTTGGACACTAATTGGACAATTAACGTTCCTGTCGCAACTCTTCTTGTCTTTATAACACCAATTTGATACCTAATCAAACTGTAATTTGATTGGATTATTTAAAGGCAAATTCTTTACTCTCAGCATTGGTCGTAAAAAAGTAACTTTAGTGACTAAATTTTAATAAATAGTTACTTTAGTGACTTTTTATGACAAAAAAATTGACATTTTAGTGACTGACTTGAAAATAGTGACCTAGCCACTAAAAAGTGACCTGCTACCAGTCCTGCATAATGAAGTATTTATCAGGCAAATGTAATGATGATATAATTACAATCTGGCTGAAAATGTCTTAAATGTCGATCGATCGAATAATAATAATAATAAATATCTGAGGAGAGCTGCAACGAAATATGAACAATAATTCCAAGAGAATGTAATTCTTTGCAGATTTTCATGCTAGATTGAAGAAAGTTTCAAGAGAGATCCTAAAAGAATTTAGAAACTTTCAAAAAGTTTGGAGGATTTGGCAAGAAATTTTAATCAAAAAAAAACTCTGAGTAGTGTTCCAGGAGATTCTGAACAAATTTCTAAGGGAATTCTAAGTAGAGTTTCAGGAAAATTCCAAGAGACCCTCCTCAAAAGCATTTTGACAAGTATTCCAAGGCAATTCTGAGGAAAAATTGATGGAATTCAGACGTAAAATCAAAACAAAATTTGAGATAACACTTTTCTAGATTCTAAATGGCATACCAGAAGGGAACGAACGACTGTCTCGCGTTGCTTTCCTCGGAAATTCAGTTAGCTTTTGCTAAGAAAGAGCAAATGGCTTCTGTGTTCTTGGATATCAATAATTTTTTGTACAATTTGCTGTCAGAAAAACATATGAGCTTTTCTCATGGAAACTCTACAGCTTTTCGATTTAGCTACATGGGTCTCCCCCAAGGCTCATGTTTAAGCCCCCTTTTGTACAATTTCTACGTTAGAGAAATTGATGTCTGTCTTAGTGACAATTGCACGTTGAGACAACTTGCAGATGACGGCGTAGTGTCTATCACAGGGCCAAAAGAGGTTGACCTGCAAGGACCCTTACAGGATACCTTAGACAATTTGTCTACTTGGGCTATTCAGCTAGGTATCGAATTCTGCACGGAGAAAACTGAACTGGTCGTTTTTTCTAGGAAGCATAGCCCAGCACAACCGAAGCTTCAACTTTTGGGTAAACCGATCACTCATTCCATGCCTTTTAAATATCTCGGGGTCTGGTTCGATTCCAAATGCACTTGGAGATCCCACATTGAGTATCTGAGACGAAAATGCCAACTAAGGATCAATTTCCTTCGATCAATTACCGGAACGTGGTGGGGAGCCCATCCACAAGATTTTCTGACGTTGTACCGGACAACGATTTTATCGGTTTTAGAGTACGGTAGTTTTTGCTTCCAGTCGGCAGCTAAAACGCACATCATCAAGCTGGAACGGATCCAGTATCGTTGTCTTCGTATCGCGTTAGGATGCATGCACTCGACTCATACTACGAGTCTCGAAGTGAGGGTCCTCACCCGTTGCGAAGTAATGAACCCACTGGTGATCGAAAACTTTGAGAAGCTTCTGTAGCTAAATCCTCAAAGATGTTTTATGACTTTGTACTACCTATATTTAACACAGGATGTCAGCCCTTCATGAAATATTCCCAATCGTGTAGTCTTCTCCGATTTCGGCAATTCAATGAATTTTGATTTATCTATGACGCAGGAAATCCACGGAATTCCAGAGCATCATCATCCTATGATTGCTTCGTCATTATACTCTGCAAAGTTTGGCCATGTTGATTCTGCAAGAACGTTTTTCACAGATGGATTTCTAATAGAGGAGTCCGCTGGTTTTGGTGTATTTAATGAATTTCATAGCGCCTCTCGAAAACTTGAAGCTCCTTGTTCTGTGTATGTGGCTAAACTGGCAGTAATTCACTACACTTTGGAAACTATTGCTTCACTTTTTCCAGACCACTACTTTATTTTTACGGATAGTCTCAGTTATGTCGAGGCTATCCGTTCCATTAGGCCGGTAAAGCACTTCTCGTATTTTCTCTTGAAAATACGAGAACTGCTTAGTGCTTTATCCGTGCGCTCTTTCATCATCACCTTCGCGTGGGTCCCTTCGCATTGCTCAATTTTGGGCAATGAGAAGGCGGATTCACTTGCGAAGGTGGGCGCTATGGAAGGCGACATTTATGATCGACAAATCGCCTATAGTAAATTTTTCTCTATTTATCGTCAGCAGTCGCTCGTTAGCTGGCAACATCAATGGAGTGAAGGGAGCTTGGGACGATGGCTACATTCAATTATCCCTAAGGCGTCGAAGATTGCATGGTTCAAAGGGTTGGACTTGGGTCGAGACTTCATACGCGTGATGTCTCGTCTCATGTCCAATCACTATTGTCTAAACGCTCACTTGTTCCGTGTGGGGTTGGGAGACAGCAATCTCTGTGAATGTGGACAAGGTTACCAGGACGCTGATCACATCCTTTGGTCTTGTGCGGAGTATCGTGGAGTCAGATCACATTTTTATGATTCCCTTCGGGCTCGAGGTAGACAACCTAATGTTCCAGTTCGGGATATTTTGGCTAGACACGATCTGGAGTTTATGAAACTCATATATGTTTACTTTAAGGATATTAACCTTAGATTGTAAGTTTGATTAACCTTGAGTTTAGTTTGTATTTTGTACGTGTGGGGTTTTTTTTTCAATGTTTGTTTTCAAGATGAATAGAAATAATTTCATGTTTTAGGATTAATTAAATAGTTGTAACGTAAACCACATTTCAAACCTCCTTCTTCCCTTTTCCCATCCAAAAAATTGTAAATCTTCACTAACCTCGAGACAACCGCGAGTACTCGGTCCAGTTCCTTTAACTATAAGACAGTAAAAATGGCATACCACGAGATTTCGAGGAATATTCCAAGCGAATTGTTAAGAGTATAATGAAGAGAAATTAAAGCAATTTCACGCGAATTTATTTAAGAACCCAAAGATTGTAGAGTACATTTTACGAGTTTTTAAAGAATACAAAGATTGAAGAGTACATTTCAAGAGTTTTCTGGTGGAAAATCCTAAAGTGTTCTGCACAAAAATAGACTTTAGTTGGGAAACTTTCTATGGATTACCGGACAGAATCATAAGATTATTGAGGGAAATCTTGAAACGAATTATTGAAGGAAATCCTGAAGACATGTTGAAATAATCCTAAGGAAACTCATGATAAATGTGCAAACATATCCTGAGGTAATTTTCAAAAGAAATAATCTAGATAAGATTTAGAATCCATACACAGAAATTTAAGATTCAGGATTAACCACAATGGTCAAAATTCTTACACGTTAGTTGATAAAAAATTTCGAGATCCTGGTCTTAGCCAACTTTTCAAGATTATGAGGCTAGATTCAAAATTCTAAGAGGCAACGGACTTTGAATATTTAGTAATAAAAAATTATATGTTAAAGTTCCAATCGAATTCCCGGTTACAACCAGTTTTCCACGATTGTTTTCGATTTCGGGTTAATTCCCGGTTTTCCCGGTTGAGTGGCCACCCTGAGTGTTTTCAGGGAGTCATTAGGGTGGGTCAAGTTTGTTTGGTGGATCACAACTCCCTGTTCTCCACTACTCGTCCGATGTGTATTGAGATCCCCAACAAAGGTGTTAAATTTGAACGAACTTGGTTATGGTCGGGATTTGCGGGAAAATTTTAAATGTTGTATGGGAAAATGTATGCAATAAAGGGTGTCCCACATCAAATTGCATCACGGAAAAAACGCTGTAGAAAAATACCCAATGGGTATTTTCTCTTGTAAATTTGGGTAGAAGTAGTTTAGAGTGTATTGCTTACACTGTATTTTTATCGCTATCAGTTTTTCGAAAGTTGGAAAAAATGGCGTCACCCGAAAAGCAACGTGGCGAATTGATTTTGCTCAAGCACCTGGAAAATCCTAAATTCTCTCATCGGGACATCGGAAAACAACTCGGAATCGTGCAGTCAACGGTGAGTACTGTTATTAAACGTTACTACGAAACTCTGAGCATCGAACGGAAGGAGAAATGCGATCAGAATGGATGTTCTATTAGTGATAAAGATCACAAGCGTGTCGTGAAAGCGTTTAAGCGGAATCCCAATGATTCGGTCAGGGATGTGGCCAAAAAGTTGAATCTGTCCAAGTCTTTCGTTCAGAGAGCCAAGGACCGGGAGGGACTGCGTACGTACAAAGTGCAGAAGTCTCCAAATCGTGACGAACGGCAAAATACGGTGGGAAGGTCACGGGCCCGGAAACTGTCTAGCTTCATGTCTCTATTCAAATGTCCTGTAGTGGTACGAAGCCAACGGGGTCACTTTCGTACCCAAGGATATGAACCCCCCCCCCCCCCAACGCACCGAAACTAAAGCCCATAGAAAAATACTGGGCTATTATGAAGCAGGCACTATGGAAGCATCCCAAGGAGGTCAAATCTGAGGAAGACATGATGAAAAAGTGAGTTTCCGTACAGAAGAAGCTGCAGCCAGATGTTGTACAGAACCTAATGAGTGGAGTTAAGCGTAAGGTGCGAGCGTACGGCTATGGTATTGAAGTTGAATGAAATAAATATGCCAAAAGATTACTAATGGGTTATATTTTATTGTCTGAACGTTTGAAAAGGATCGGTCAACTAGGTAATTTTCTACAGCGTTTTTTTCCGTGATGCAATTTGATGTGGGACACTCTTTACTATGCACAACAACTTTTTATTATTGTATTAATTTAGACCTATTGCTCCGCGCATACCTAAAGGCATATATATGAGCTTGTAGGTACGTGTGGAACACTTGGTCAAAAGTGAAATATTAGTAACTTTTTGTACGAAGATCAAATCGATTTACAGTATTTAACTAAGTTGTTTTGTATATTATACTCAATCTAAGTCCGAGGTATGGTGAAATTTGAGCAATATTTGGATTTTTGGCAAGCAAATTAATAGCTCGTTCCGTTTCCCATACATTTATCCATACACAATTTAAAATTCTCCTGCAAATCGAAATTATAATTAAAAACGCATTGAAAAAGCAGTGGGGAACAACGGGTTGTAAAGTTGTCCCGCCCTAATAGGCATACTTTACATTTCGTAAGTCTTATACATTTCGTATATTTTGGATTATTCTATAGTCCCGTAACTTTCGCGTCACTTTCAAAACCAATAGACACAACACCTTTCCCAAATTTTACTATAATTAATCGCTGTTGCTTACCAACGTAATGGACATGCCCCTAACATTTCAACTTGTTGAAAAACATGACCAAGAACGAAACAATATTCCCAAAATATGCATGTGGATATGTATCAACTTGTGTTGCTGCGTGAAGTTTTGGTCGATTGGGAGAGTGTAAATATGCTGATATCCACAATTTCCATAATCCTAGAGCTGACATGTTTTATTAAGGAACCCACCTAAGAGTATTATACTAAATCTACCAAATTTACCACCTTTACAATCGGTTCCTGCGAAACCCAACCTTGCTTATGGACTAAACTTTACAAATTAGTAATCACAAAATGCAATCCCCAGTCAAAAAAAAAACTCCATTTATTGGCAAAGAGAAAATAGTTTTGGTTCCGGTTTTAGTACAAATACAATTTCTGGATTAGCCAATATGCAAAAAAGTATGGTAATGAAAGAGAGGGGGTTGGAGGGTAAATGTCACTATCGATTATCATTATTAGCTCAGAATGTATTATGAATTCGCATCATTTACAATTTGTTTATGTTTCCGAGAGAGAGAAAAAATCGAATTACCCTGAAGACTCTATACTTACGGGATGGAATTTTCTTGAAGACGGTCTTCGCCATAAAGTCCTGAAAGCGTTGTGCATAGAAGGAAGGCCGGTGTACCGATACGGTATCCTGAAATTCACCGGGCAGATCATATAATTGGTCATATTCTCCATTCGCCAACAATATACTTACACCATCGTGTATAATACTTTTCCACGTGTGTTCGAGCTTTTTCCTTAACCTATAGGACTGCAGGATGTCGATAATGCCGATGAACAGTAGGAGCCGCTCGCCCTTTTCGCTGCGCGCAGGGATACCACCCGGTCTAAAATGCGGTGAGAATGGTGTCAATTAAAGTTCTAAATAAACACATCGCCTTTTTGATACATACGGTACATCATCCTCCTCGTCGATCGGTTCACTCTCGGCCTGAATACTCTCCATTGCAGTCGAATGCGCAACAAGCCGCTGTCGGTTGATGGATCTGTATGCCAATGTTTATGTGGAGAAAAATGATAGGAAAAGTGTCATTGTCATTGTACGGAATAGCGAAGGAACTAAAGCCAATGAAGTTGATGCAGAGAATGATGATATCGGTGGTTGATTCAATATTCCATGGTTCGCTTGGTGAAAATTTCGAAATGCACTCAGACATTACGTATCATCAGTCGGTCCAGTGTACTGATTTGAATTTTTGCATAATAACTAACTGATTTATAAGCAGTATAAGTGTGTAACTCCTAGATCTACAAGCTGAAATAATTACAATGTTGATGCATCATTTTCATCCGAGGTTGAATAATTTATCGATTGAACTGCTGACTGTGAAGCAACAATACGAAAGTATTGTTTGAGAAATAATGTTCTACTAATGGCAGTAGAAATATTTAAACAATAATCGTTGCTTCAAGCGATATGCAACTTGATAGTGATCAGATACTACAACTGCTATATAGCTATCAACTGAGCAATTGTCAATTTGGTTCCAGAATAAGTTCCTATGCCTGCTCAACACGAGAAAGAAACGTTCGGTGTTGTTCAGTTCAGCGGACACTTTGTTCGTCAACTGATAAACCTTAAACAATAACGGCTAGCGCCGCAAAAACACACTCTTCAGGATGGGAACTGAAATGACATGTAGCGAAAAGGTCGATCCGGAAGCTTTGATTCCTGCAAGCAAAGGGGTCATACCTAATGAGCATTTTTCCGTAGGCTGTATTCCTGTACCAGAGATAAGACCGGGAGAGAGAGAATGCGGGTGAAAAGGAATGGTCAGTTTAGTGGTAATCGCTCTTCATCATCCGACACATTGACTAATCTGGGATTTTAAACCGATTTCAACAAAATCATACTACAACTATATATATATAGGTACAGCAAGAGTAAAAATCGCCATCATTTCGCCGGAAGGTTTTTAAAACAGAACAAAGGGCGCAAAATATTGCTTTCGGGAGCACGGCTATAAAGCTAGGCGTCCACGTGTGATTGGAACCAAAAATGGGAACAAAAGAACAAGACATCCATGTTTGCTTTGGCTAGGTGCACTTGGGGAGGCTGGTGAATTGAATTTACAAGATCTGTCGCCGGAATGTAGTCCTGTGAGGGGAGATGAGTGATGTTTTGTTTTTGTTGTTGTTGTTACATACAGCTATGAGTGTAGGCGAAACGGTCATTCCGATAGCAGGAAAACACACAGAGCAGCGTTCGCGAATGTGAACGTGAACGCACTCGATTGATTGTGATCCATAGGTTCAAATTGCGGTGCTGGGAAGCTAATTCTATTTTCCAGTACTGAACGCACTAATTTAATATCGTTTTATTGTTAATATCAGCAAAATAAGGCGAACACAAAAAAGCTTCTGTATGTACAGATAAAAAAAGGCAACATCAACATAAGCGTCGTGACGGTAGAACTTGCAGACAACGTTCCAATCAAACCTAATCGAATCAAAAGCAGAGAATTGCCAATCGCGCTGTCCTGATGGCTGATTAAATTCTCTTCACTCTCATGCAAACTTCAAAACGTTCATGTTCGTGTCTCCATTTATGTTATACCTGTCTGCCTGCGCTAGCTAGGTATATGTACGTGTTTGTGTGTATTTATAATCACAGATTTGCGGAAGCTTGTGTTCCCACCTCCGCGCGGGTTTTCATCTTCAATTACGCCCCAGCATCCTTTGGAAATCTAATCGCCGCCGCCGCCTCTCTTCGAGAATGATGACTTTCCCCACGCATGGTCTGTGTTGTTATGCACGTGTACAGCCTAATTAACGTATTATTCTTGTGGTTCAGTGTGGGTGCAGTATCGAAAGAAAACCACAATTTTCAAAGCAAATTCTGCATGCTTTGAAAGCAACGAAACACACCTACAACCGTTGCCTTCAGCCATCAGTGAATGCCTATTTTGGGACAAACAAAATTTGCGCAACAAAACTGTTGTAGGCAATAAATAAGCAGTACAAGCAACACAAGCTGACGGCTGAAGACAAGCTGGAACGAACATCGAATGCGAATCTCTGAGACATTGCGTCTCCCCTTTCGTACCTGCTGCGGTTCAGCGCCGTCGTTCGTTGTTCTTCCCGTTCCTGTACCATGTACTGGTCGGCTTCCGGTGCATCCTCGTAGTCGGATTCCCCCTCGGATTTGGCTTTGGCCGCCGCTTCCTGCTTTTCCTTCAAGGCCAGATCCAGATTGTGGATGCCGACCAGCAGCGAATAGTCCATTATCTTAAAAGACTCCAGCACCCGACAGTCACGCTGGATGGTTTTGATCAGTGCATTGCAAGTGTCCGCCTCCAGGAAGATGCCGTTCGGATGGTGCTCCATAAAGTCCAGATCCTTGTAGGTGGGGGACGGTTTGGTGCGTTCCGCTTTGTTGGCCTGATGGGTAGAATTTTAATCAATACCTTGCTGAACTGTTTGCACATCCTGCGCTTCACTCACCTTCCGCTTGTAGGTAGAACCCTTCAGATCGTACTTCAAATGCATCTTCACGTACGACGGCAGCAGATTGTTCATGGCCACTAGTCGGACGTTTTTACTATTGCACTGGTAGCAGTACAGTCCGAAAAATTTCGGCAGCAACGTGCGAGGGTTTTGATTTAGATTCATGTAATATCTGTGGAGAAAGAAAAAACGTTACTTTTGAGCAATTCAATCTTTTCTCGATTTTCCGGCACCAGCAGCGCGTGAGGAAATTAATCGAACGAACAGTAAACTTAGAGAATGAAAAACCTACCCTGGTAACAGCTTCTGTAGAAATTCACCTTCCTTATGCATTACAGTCTTGATGATGAACTCGTCGTCATCGGTTAGATAGAATATCGACCCGGACGCACCCGGATTCGAGAGCTCCCGCAGTGGGGCTGAACACATTGACATCTGAGAAATGGTAAAAGGTTAAGTAAAATCCTACATCGGAAAACCACCCCGACTCACCATGAAATCATCCGGTTGAATACCGAACAGATCCCGAAAGTACCTAAACGCTATCGGTGCATAAATTTTGAACTTGAACTCGCTAAAGTGATGCGCCGGGGTCATGCTGGAGCCCTCCGGGGGGAATGATATCGTCTCCAGCTCCCAAAAGTCCATCATCAACAGATCTCGACGGGGTTTCGAGGCCAGGCTGCCAACCGTGTGCTGAATGCCCAGCTGGATCGAGCCCATGATCTGGGTGGTTTGGATCTTCTTGTAGGTAATTTCGCCACCTTCGCCCACCCGCCGATGACCAATCTTCCGTTCCTTGTCCGATTTGGGCCGGTGTGGCCGCGAGGCCAGAGGCTGATCTGCCGACATCTGCATAATTGAAAGTGGAGAAAACCAAGCATTAGTGGTGACCAATTATTCCGCGACTGATATAGAACGTATAATTTATTACAGTGAACACTCTTCTCGATGGCAGCACTGGCGCACCCAACAGAAACTCATTAGATTCCCTCCCGTACAGGGAGAATACCAATCGCATGAATATTTTATCCACCCCGTCGTCGTCAGCGTCATCGTTGGTGCGGAGGGAACCCTGAAGCTACACTATCCTCTAACCTAAATGCATTTCATTAGCTAATAATAAATGAGAGAGCGAACCCCACGGGTGAGAAGGGATCACATCCATTTCATGTGCTCCATGGCTTGATAAGGAAAAAATGGAATATAATTTCAAGTTGGATGCAGTGAAGAGGTATAATTCAAACTCGTCCACCAGAAAAGCAATTGCTGTGCTCGTTGTCGTCGTCGTCCTCGTCGTTGGTCGTCTCAATAATGTGCGGAATTATTACAATCTGAATATTTTGCATACAGCACACTGCCGAGCGATAACATTATAATGATAATATCGCTTCATGCGGCTCGAGAAGACGAGAGTACAAATGTAGCAAAGGGAAGAAATGACGGCAAAAGAATGTGGGCATAAGATCTGATATGGATGATTGAATTACAAAACGGGCAAAACATAGGTGACACGGCAATCGATCATTATTTCCAATCGAGAGTTGATGTTTTAGGCTGCCACAACCAGACAATCAGAAGTCAATGCCCGCATGGATTCGATAATCATTACGTAATGTAATGTATCGCATTTAGTGTCAGTTAAATCAATTGAATGCAAAGTTCCGCCTTTAAAACGATTAACCTTTACAAGAATCACCCTTGTAGAATCCTCAAATGACCACCACGTAGGCATGCACTTCCACTTCGAATATTCAATTACACAAATCTCGGAAAATTGTGTCCCATTTCATTTGAAATTACTACTTCATGTATGCTTGCACAGCAGCAAACGAGGAGTAACAATTTAAATGTTGCACGTGTCGTAAAAGCTGATATTTGTGCACTTAAAGTTTCGAAGTGGTTAAGCGAATAAGGATGTCGCAGCGAATCACCTTAACTATAGTTAACGAAAAGGGATGAGTAATCGTGTCCCTTCTCGATGCAGGTAGCTTTCCCATGAATTGCTGTACAATCTACGAAACACTTCAGGTAACGATGGGCTACTTTCCTGACAACGTTCCTTCCTTCCAATGAACAGTATCGTTGATGGATCGATCCTAACAGTAGCTGTAGACTGGCGTGAAGCAAACGAAGGTGGTAGTTCTCAAAAATCAACTTACTCCTATCTGCTTTCCAGGGATGCCAGGAGGTTTAAGAAAAGGTCTTCGACAAGATCGAATAAATGTCTTCATCGCCGCTTTTTAACTTGGTTAACGGGGGTGGAACCCAGAGATTGCAAGGAGAGGCAAATACCCCGCCCCTGAATATCCTCTTAATTTTTTTTTCGGAATTTTGAAAATTTCACTTTAGTCTGAATCATGACTAAGGGGCTGTCCAAAAACTACGTATACAGAGAGAGAGTAGGGTTAGTAATTTCCATTTAATTCCACTACTTTATTTGCTTATCCTTGACTGATACGCGTATTTCGTCTACAATGTGCAGACTTCTTCAGTGTCTTTAAGTGTCAACGGTCCGTTAAAATTTTTATTTTTTATCTTGTTTGAACGACTGCCTTCGATGGGGAAGGGGGTTCAAAACCTCTCAAAAGCTATCTAAGTAGTTTAAGGACAGTCCTTAAAATGACAGAAAATTATTCTAAAAAGAAACAAGAAACGACCACGTGGTTGACGTAGACTACGTTATGAGTTCGCGAGTGCATGCAGGTCTGGTAGTGATCAATGCTGTCAAAAATAGTGATTTTAGTGACTATGTTGAAGAAATAAGTGACCAAATAGTGACTTATAGTTAAAAAAAAATTACAAAATGCGGCCTAAGGGAAGAATATGAGTCATTCTGATGGCATACCAAATAAATGTATAATGTTTTAGACTCATTCAATTAGAATCTCATAAACACTTAAATATTAACGATAGGAACCTCTAAAGCGAAAGATTATGGCTAAACCCAAAATTCTCAGGGAATTTTATTCCTCCTAAAAATACCTGGAAGACTCAGGGAATCTTATCACTACTTAGGAAATTTTATAATTTTAATTCTAAAGATATTCAAAGGAAAAGAATGCATTTTAAAATAAAAACATTTAATATTCCTAGTTATTTTCATTCACACATTGAATTTTGTAGCTACTTTATAAGAAAAATATCAAGTGCAATCTGCTTTCATGGTAGTTCTAAAGAATTTCAGATTTCATGTGAAGCATGATATAGTTTTGAATAGAATTTCAAGAAAACCCGGAATTGAATTCAAAGTAAGTTCCTTCTGAGTCATTCTGAGGATAATTACAAGCAGTTTGTGATAGACAACGAAATCGGAGCATAAGTCCTCGTATTTTTTTTTTTGTGAATGTTTAGGTGGTGAAGGGGATGCTAAAATTACAATTACAATTAAAGGATTACAATTAAAACTGAGAATAACTCCCGAAGATCTTCAAAGATATTAATTTACAAATTAAGGGTAGAAATCTAAGATTTGAGAAGAGAAATGAAAGTGGATTCTTATGAAACTTTCAATGTGAGTAGAATTCCAAGGGAAGGAGTGAGATTAAAATGGAAATCTGAAATGAATTCAATGAATACTCTGAGAATCTTTCCATAAGATTTCTTACTGAGGAGAATTTCAAGGTAATTCCTAAGAAAATTAAAAGAAAACTGAATTCGGAGGATAGTTTCAACGGCATTTTGAGGAATATTTGGAACTGCGAGAAGTATTCTAACTATATTCTTGTGATTGTGAATTTCTGAAATAATTCCATGAGAGTTTCGGAAGAATACGAGCGTTAGATTAGGAGAACTTGAAGCGAATTTTCATGAGAAATCTCCGTTAAATATGTAATGAACTGTCTTGAAGTTCTTTTGTAGTTTGAGAAACTAGCCTAATGCTCGCAATACTTCTAATCAATGTTTTCAACTTTTTTCAACTTTTTCGGACTTTCTACAGTTTCCACAATTTTCCTAACGATCATGAATCTTCTCTAAAATTTTAACAATTCACTGAATTTCTCGAAACTTTTTTAAAAATTTATTTAATTTCGCTGCTCTGGAATATCTCTGCTCTGGGGATATCTGTTATTTCTTGAAGTTTTTTTTTCGTAGAGCTTTATTAGTGAGATCAATATCTTTATTGAAGTTCTCGAAACTTTATTTAAAGTGTTTGCAGTTCTCATGGAGCTTGTTGTACTACCCTGTATTTAATTGAACTGTTCTAAAAATGTTAAAACTTCCGTGTTCCATATATAAAGTTCTCTGAAAACCTGTGAATTTCTTGAAATTTCCCGCAAATTTAGTGAATCTAATGGAACAGAACTCCCCTGAAATTCGCCTTGTTTTTGGAGCTTTACTAAACTTATTTAAAATGCTCCCGAAATGTCCATATAAGTTCCTGAAGTTCTCGCTTCCCTTAAGCTCCATAGACATTTATGAAGTTTTCGAAGTTATTCTGAAATTTCAGGAACTTATTGCTCCCGTAACGAAATAATTAATATAGTTCTACGATTCTCACTGAAGTTCTCCAGATTTGTCTGAAGTTCAAATTATCGAAACTAATTCATAACTTCTTCAACAGTCTAGAGTCTCCCGATGTTTTTAAAACTGCCCAAAATATTTCTCAATTTCCATAAATTCTCTATACTGCCCTGAATATCTTAGTATTTTTTTAAAAGAACCCACCATTTTACTGGAATTGATTGAATTGCCTTTAAGTTCTACAACTTTCCTTAAGTTTATAAACGCTCACGATACTTTGCCTTAAATCACTAGTTTTTCTTGGAAAGTCCAGCCCTGAAGTTACTTTAAATTGATCAAATGTTCCGGTAAATTTACTGATATACATTTATTATTCTCTGAATCTTCTTAAGTTTTCAGATCAATCAAAGAATTTTCGGAACATCCTATAATTCCAATGCATTCCTTGTAAGTCACTGCAGATTTCATTAAGTTAATGGGATTTTTCAGATGTTATCACATCGTCCTCGAAATAATCGGAACTTCACTGAATATAATAAAACAATCTTAAATTCTTAAAAATATCGGCGCTTGCTAAAAATTATCTCTTTTTTAATTAATGAAACTTCGTTGATATTCTCTAATCAACTTAGCTCAATTTTTGATTTTTTTTTTGGATCTTGAAAATTCCATGATACAACACCCTTGAAATACTCTCACATTTTTCCAGATGTTCATATAATTTTTATTGCGTTCCAAAAAATTTTCTCTGAGCAAACCGAAGTTTCCGAAAATTCCCGGAAATTTTCTGGAAATTTCTTTAAGGTTTCTGCAATTTCCTTGAATTTTTTTTAACTGCCCTTTTAATTCTTGATGTCCTCGGAGCTCCTCTAAAGCTCTCAATTCTTATGAAGAGCTCGGTTCTGCTTTAAAATAAATGGAATTCTCGTGAACACCTTTTAATTTTCTGGAATTCTCTGGATTTCTGTGAAGTTCCTGAAATATTTCTGAAGTTTTCATAAATTTTCTGAAGGTCTCTGTACTGTACATTGTTGTTGTTCTTTTATAAAAAAAAAACGATTTTTTAACACATTTCATAACTAGCTTTTTAATTATAAAACTAGAAATTATCCGCAAAATTTATGGAAAAACCTGGTAAATTCAGGGAATTCTAGTCATTGCACTCTTTTGACTAGAATTCATTGAGTCTACCAGGTTTTGTAGATAAAGAAAGACGATAACACTGTAGATAGAGAAAGACGATTAAACGCCAAAAAACTCTATACAAGACCGTCAATTTCAAATTGTTCAAAAATAAGAACAAAATGTAGGCCTATCCTACACACTACAAGAAGAGTGATCACTCTTGAAATAAATTCACGTTAAAAAAAGTTTAAAATAGTGACTGA